CAGGCCCAGGCGCTCGAGAGCCAGGTGAAGGACCTGGGCGGCCAGGTGAACGACCTGGGCGGCCAGGTGAACGACCTGGGCGGCCAGCTGAGCGACCTCAACAAGCAGATGAAGACCATGGACACGAAGGTGCAGGGCATCGTGACGCACGTGGAGCACATCACCTCCCAGGCCGGCGGGCTGGACCAGGAGTCCCGCGTGGGGGAGGAAGACATGGTATCGGCAGAGCCAGGGAAAAGGAAGGGCCAGGAAGGCCTCGAGGAGACCGCCTCGGCCACCCTCATAACCAGCGCCCAAGGGCCGGGGAAAAGGGCCCCCAAGATGCGACCTGAGGGCATGGCCAAAGGCCCCCAGGCCAAGTTCTGGTCGGGCCTTAAAGACTTAAAGGAATACACCCCAGAGGAGGTACGAGCCCACCTCGGGCACCCTCGGTGGGCATTCTCCCTGCCAAGCTGTTCCCCTGTCCCAGGAAGGCAGGTGGCCAAGGGGTGGGGAGAGGTGGAAACATGGTAGGGGGCGGGAAGACCTGAATGGATGGGAATGGGTCCCATACATAAGCCCTTGTTTTGCTTTACAGACCCAAGAGCTGCTCCAGAACCTCATGGAAGAAGTGAAAACGCTGAAAGATGCTCAGCAAAAGATACAGGAATTGCCGCCGTTGCAGCCCCTGGTAAGGAAGCCTGGGACTGCTACCTTGGGAGCAAAATAGCTCCTTTCCACCCCCTTCCTGACCCTCAACTTCAGATGCACAGTGGCCACAAGGGGGTTACCACCATCTTCCAAGATTCTTAGATTAGGGGCTGGGAAGTTGGCTCAGTAGAGTGCTTGCCTTGCATGCCTGAGGCCCTGGGTTCGATTCCTCAGCACCACATAAGCAAAAAGAAAAAAACCCGGAAGTGGCGCTGTGACTCAAGTGGTAGAGCACTAGCCTTGAGCTGAAGAGCTGAGGGACAGCGCCCAGGCCCAGAGTTCAGACCCCATGACGGACAAAAAAAAAAGCCAAATGAGAAACACAAGGTCCTGAGTTCAAGTCCCAGTACCAACACACACATACACAGACACATAGACACACACACACACACACACACGTGAATAAATAAAAATAAAGGCTAGCACAAGTTATAAGAAGCAGAGTAAAATTTAGCAGTTTGCTCAGTCCCTCTTTAAAGACTTTTCTCTGTGTGGCACAGACACGCAGACTGCTGCTGAAGCCCCTGGTACTTGTTTAGTGAGAGGCAGGATAGACCTCATGCCTCAGTTGCTACAAGGTTCCAATAGTGACACTAACTGCCCAGCACCCTCATCCACCCCCTGCACCCACTTCCCTTCCTCTTGTTCTTACCAGCCAGGAAAAGAACTAGTGGCTTGGCTTGGCTGGCCAGGCAAAATTAGAGAGAAATGAGAAAAACTCCCCCCGCCCCCCCCACGAAAACACCTTCCCTGCCTGGCGCCGGTGGCTCACGCCTGTCATCCCAGCTACTCAGGAGACTGAGATCTGAGGATCTTGGATCAAAACAGCCTGGGCAGAAAGTCCATGAGACTCTTATCTTCAATGAACCATCAGAAAACTGGAAGTGGTGCTGTGGCTCAAGTGGTAGAGCGCTCGCCTTGAGCTGAAGACCTGAGGGACAGTACCTGGGCTGACAGTTCAAGCCCCAGGACTGACAGAAAAGAAAAAACACTTTCCCTCAAGACAGACAGACCCCACACACACATACTTCCTCTTCCCCTTCACGTGGAGTCTGTGTGTGCACACATGTACACATAGGTGTATATGAAGCACCCCAGAAGAGTAGTATGATGCTCTGTTTCTGATCTGTGCTTCCAGGAACTCATCCAGCGCATTGAGAAAATGGAGAGGCTACTCAGGGATCGGGATGAAATCCTGGTAATGTGGGCAGCTTGGGAAACGGGCCCTTGGGAAACGGGAGTGGGGTGGGGGCCTTGGTCTCTCCTCTCTGGGATTGAAATGCCCCCTCTCTGCATGTGTGTCCCTCTAAGATGGTGGAGGGAGGTGGCTCGTTCCTCTGCCTCTCTAGGCACTGGTCTAGGACTAAGGGGGAATCCTTTCCATCCCTGCTCAGGGCTCTATTGGGGGCCAAGTGAGACAAAGAACTGGCTGCAAGGTCACTGGAAGGCTAGTGAATTATCCCTGGGGCTAGGGCTGTGGAAAGTTATTTTGGTTAGGTCTGTTCTTATACCCCCCTGGAATTAGACTGTGTGTGTGTGTGTGTGTGTGTGTGTGTGTGTGTGTATGTGTGTGTGTATATCCCTGACTTGTCTGTTACCATCAGGAACAAATAGGCCTGAAGCTAAATTCTCTTACCGGAGGAGATGAGGTCACCATGGTCACCTGGGAAGACCTGGAGCAAGCTATCACTGATGGCTGGAAGACTTCGCAAATGGTGAGCAGACAGGGGCCTGGGCGAGATCCCCAGAACCTTCCTCTGCTTACCACTACAGGGTGTCAATATAAATTATGTTCATCATTCATTGCCCAAGTTCCATATTGTTGACACTTAAAAAAATTTTTTTTTCAGCCAGGCACTGGTAGCTCACACCTGTAATCCTAGCTACTCACAAGGCTGAGATCTGAGGATCATGGTCCAAAGCTAGCCAGGGCAGAAATGTCCATGAGACTATCTCCAGTAAACCACCAAGAAAACCAGAAGTGGAGCTATGGTTCAAAGTGGTAGGGCATTAGCCTTGAGCAAAAAACAAAAACAAAAAAAAACTCAGGGGAAATGCCCTGGTCCTGAGTTCAAGCCCCAATACCAACAAAAATAAAATAAATATTTTTCAGGCTTATAATAATTGCTTCAAGATGACAGCCACGCAAGTGAGTAGGACACATGGCTGGAACTTTGTGATTGCTCTAGGTGTTGCCAAACTGTTTTTGCTATCAGCTATTTCTGCCCAATCTCCTAACCTATAGACAGGCAAGAACTTATTCCTTGACCCACTACCCATAGAATAGGTCATTTAATACCCATTCAAGTGTGTGTGTGTGTGTGTATGTGTGTGTGTGTGTGTGTGTGTGAGAGAGAGAGAGAGAGAGAGAGAGAGAGCACATGCACACACATATGCTGGTCTGCAGGAGATTGGGATAAACATGGCTGATAGGGAAAACAGTTTGGTAATAGCTAGCCCAATTGCAAAGATACATATCCATTTCCAGCAATGTGTTCTATTCACTTGTGTTAACTGTCATCTTGGAGCAATTATAAGACTGAAAAATACTTTTTTGTTGGTCCTGGGGCTTAAACTCAGGGCCTGGGCACTCTACCACTTGAAACACACATCTACTCTCAGCTTTTTGCCAGTTAAAGAGTTTCACACAGGGCTGGGAAGGTGGCTCAGTGGTAGAGCGCTTGCCTTGCATGCATGAGGCCCTGAGTTCGATTCCTCAGCACCACATAAGCAAAAAGAAAAAAGCTGGAAGTGGCGCTGTGGCTCAAGGGGTAGAGCGCTAGCCTTGAGCTGAAGAGCTGAGGGACAGCACCCAGGCCCAGAGTTCAGGCCCCACGACCGGACCCAAAAACAAGAGTTTCACACACCTTCCTGCTCTAGATGGCTTCAAACTGCAACCCTCCATCTCAGCCTCCTGCATAGCTAGGATTACAGATGCGAGCCACCAACCTGTTACCCAATTTTTTTGAGCTTTGCCAATGGGCTGGTTGGAAAATGGTACCCATTTAGTTTTTGTTGCTTCAGTAGGTTTTCAAACTTTATTTATGGTCCGTCCTGAAATTTAAAAAAATGCCTGTTTGAAAGCCAGGCACCAATGGCTCACGCCTGTAATCCTAGCTACTCAGGAGGCTGAGCTCTGAGGATGGCGGTTCAAAGCCAGCCTGGGCAGGAGAGACCGTGAGACTTCTATCTCCAATAAACCACCAGAAAACTGGAAGTGGAACTGTGGCTCAAGTGGTAGAGTACTAGCCTTGAGCTGAAGAGCTCAGGGACAGTGCCCAGGCCCAGAGGTCAGGCCCTACAACGGACCAAAAAAAAAAGTATGTTGACTTATTCACAGATGAGGATGGCACATTCCTGAAAATAAGGTCCTTGCAGGAAGCCCCTGGCTTATGGTGACTTTTGTGCATGGGTCAGGTGTCTGTCTATCCTGAAACAGTGCACAGAATGGCTAAAAGATTTTCAAATCCTTCTCTTTCTTCATCTGAATATCCATCAGCCTGTTGTTTTTTTCACTACCTTTTTCACTAGCTTTTTCACTCAAAGCTAGTGCTCTACCACTATGAACCATAGCATTTCTTCTGGTTTTCTGGTAATTAACTGGAGATAAGAGTCTGACAGCTGGGCACCAGTGGCTCATACCTATAATCCTAGCTACTCAGGAAGCTGAGATCTGAGGATCGAGGTTCAAAACTACCCTGGGCAGGAAAATCTATGAGACTCTTTATCTCCAATGAACCACCAGAAAACTGGAAGTGGTGCTGTGCCTCAAGTGGTAGAGTACTTGCCTTGAGCTAAAGAGGTCAGAGACAGTGCCTCAGAGATAGTGCCCAGGTCCAGAGTTCAAGCCCCACAACTCTCTCTCTCTCTCTTTCTCTCCACACACACACACACACACACACACACACACACAAAAGAGTTGACAGACTTTGCTGCCTGGGCTGGCTTTGAACCTTGATCCTCAGATCTCAGCCTCTCCTGAGTAGCTAGGATTACGGGCGTGAGCCACTGGCGTCTAGAATCCTGTTTTAGTTGTTATTGTTGTTGTTTGGTCAGTCTTTGGTCAGTCATGCGGCTTGAACTCTGGGCCTGGGCACTGTCTCTGAGCTCTTCAGCTCGAGGCAAGCGCTCTACCTCTTGAGCCACAGCACCACTTCCGGTTTTCTGAGTGGTTTATTGGAGGTAAGAGTCTTATGGACTTTGCTGCTCTGGCTGACTTTGATCCGAGATCCTCAGATCTCAGCCTCCTGAGTAGCGAGGATTACAGGCGTGAGACACGAGCATCCCACATCCTGGCTTATTTTTGTGTGGCCCTCACAGAGCAGGATTAACTGCCCTGTTGGTCTTGCTATTGTGTGTGTTCCTTAAAGAGGATCGATCACACAGGCCTTCATACAGAAGCCAGGTAAACCAGTTCACTGCCCAGAGCGAGCCTTTTGGCGCCCCTAAGTGGCCATTCTGGGCAGTGCCACTTACTGTCCGAATGTATTAGGTACCTGCCAATTTACAAGACACTTTTCTGAATTCCTGGCACACCCAAAGAAGTGGCATCACAAAGAATTGTAAGAGGACCCTTCAAACAAGTAAGTACCTACACAAGAAAAAGTAGCATCTACTTTTTTTTAAGGTACTGGGGATCCAACCCAGGGCCTGGCCTCCCACCCCATAAGCCAAAGCTTCTTTAAACATGTGTTACAATCTCATGACATTTAGTGAGCACCACATTCCCTTAGCGCGACAGCAGAGAATACCACAGACATAAATAAACACAAACATCTTTAGACATTTTTGTTCTGTAGATGTAAGAAAGTATTGTGTTTATTTGTTTGAAATAGGATCTGGTTGGGCTGGGAATGTGGCTCAGTGGTAGAGTGCTTGCCTAGCATGCATAAAGCCCTGGGTTCAAGTCCTCAGTACCACATAAGCAGAAAAAGCCAGAAGTGATGCTGTGGCTCAAGTGATAGAGCATTAGCCTTGAACACAGAGAGGCTCAGGGACAGAGCTCAGGCCTTAAGTTCAAGGCCCAGCACTGGCAAAAAAAAAAAAAAAGGGGGTCTGGTTATGTAAACTTGGACTTCAAATACTCCTGTGTCAGCCTCCCAAGTTCTGGGATTACAGGCATGTACACCACATCTACACAGTATTCATAATCAGAAATAATTCCAAAGGCAAATGAGAATCTATGGTTAAGAGGTTCTGTGTGTGTGTGTGTGTGTGTGTGTGTGTGTGTGTGTGTGTATGTGGTTGAGGTTTTAATTCACAGTCTTGTACACGCTAACCAACCACTCTGCTAGAACCTCACATAAAAAGATTTTTTGGGGGGGTGTGGGATGCTGGTCCAGGGGCATGAACTCGGGGCCTGGGTGCTGTCCCTGAGCTTTCTGCTCAAGGATAAGCACTCGATCATTTGAGCCACAGCTCCACTTCTGTCATTTTGTGGTTAATTGGAGGTAAGAGTCTCATGACTTTCCTACCCCAGCTGGCTTCAAATCTCCATCCTCAGATCTTAGCCTCCTAAGTAGCTAGGATTTACAGGCGTGAGCCACCGCTATGAAAAAGATTTTTGAGAAGCGGGAGGATGAGCAGGTGCAGTGACAGCTTGTGCCACTGTCTGTCCAGTGGCAGGAAGACACACAACAGGAGTAATGACTGAAGGGTGGGTGGGTCCTGGACAGGAACAGGAAGACAGGACTTTGCATCCAGGTGGGTTTTGGTAGACAATGGAACTATGAGGTGACTATGATGCAGACCTGCATGGTAAACAGAGCCAGGGTGCGTGGGCAGAGGCAGCAGCACGCCTGGTCAGCTGGGGAAAGGAGCTGGGCTATGGTGCCTCCTTCCTGGCAGCCAACAGCTCAGCAGTCCAGATCTAACATGCAGGTGCCTATTCCAGGCAGGGCCTGAGTGGTAGGATACATACCAATCAGCCCTTCCCAGTAGCCCTTTCCAAGGATGTCCTCTATTCTTTTGGCAACACTGGGGTTTGAACTCAGGATCTTGTGCTTGCTAGGCAGGCGCTCTACCACCTAAGCTACTCTGCTAGCTCTTATTGCATTGGTTAGCTTTTGAGATAGGGTCTCACTTTATGTCTGGGTGAGCCAGGAATATGATCCTCCCAATTGTGCTTCCCTCACTAGCTGGGATGATAGCCACATACCACTTCGTCCAGCTACTGTTTGAGTTGGAATGTCTAGAACTGCTTTTGCTCAGGCTGGCCTTGAATGTCTCCCCTCCCCCTACCCCAATCTCCGCCTCTAAAGCTAGGATTAAGGCCACTTGTTTGCTTGCTTGCTTCCTTCCTTCCTTCCTTCCTTCCTTTTTTTTTTTTTTTGGTCAGTTGTAGGGCTTGAACTCAGGACCTGGGCACTGTCCCAGAGCTCTTTTGCTCAAGGTTCACACCCTACCACTTGGAGCCACAGTTCCACTTCCAGTTTTCTGGTGGATAAGAGTCTCATGGACTTTACTTGCCTGGGCTGGCTTTGAACTATAATCTTCAAATCTCAACCTCCTGAGTAGATAGAATTCCAGGTGTGAGCACCAGCTCCCGGCCCAAGGGAGTTTTGTAATGAGTAGCTGGGCACTTCTTCAGGGCTTTGTTCCTGTACCCCAGGACAACCACGATAGGATGACACTTTTCCTCCTCCTCCTCCTTTTCATGACATAAAGGAACAAAAGATGCTACTGTCAGTGTCTCATATCTATTATCAAAAGGCTGAGGTCTGAGGATCAAGATTTAAAGCCACCCTGGGCAAGAAAGTCTGTGAGACTTATCTTCAATTAACCAGCAAAAAGCTGGAAGTAGAGTTGTGGCTCAAGTGGTAGAATACCAGCCTTGGAGCAAAAAAACTCAGGGACAGCACCCAGGCCCAGAGTTTAAGCCCAAGACAGGCAAATACACATGCATACACACACACACACACACACACACACACACACACACACACAGAAATGGCAATTGTAGACAATAGCATGGTATCACATGCCTTTAACTCTAGCACTCAGGAGGCTAAGACAGGAGAATTCTGAGTTTTAAGACCACCCTGGTCTATATCTGTCTCAAAAGCAAACAAAAAATAGTCCTGTTCCTAGCCTGTGAGAATCTGGGCCCTGTTCTTTCTGAACTTGCAGGTCACCTTAGCTCACCAACCCTGGGTAGTCTCCTCACACATGCTGCTGACCAAGTCTGTGCTGCTGCTAGAGGGGCCTTTTGCATCTCCCTGAGTTCTGCTGCTCTATCTTGTGAGCCTAGCAGCCTGAGTGTTCCTTATCACTCAGTTCCGTGCCCTCTCTGCAACGCGGTCTACTACCTTCACCCAGCAGTAAGCTGAAGGGATGCAAGGGTTCACGGCACCCATTTCTCTTATTTTACATCCTTTGGTACCCAGTACCCAACATTGGAACACTGCTCTTTCAGCCTTGCTGGGGTTTGGATTTCTCTTCATTTTGGTTGTTACAGAGAAGAGGACAAATCTGGTCCTTAATATTCCATTTCCCTTTTGGATGGAAATGGGAAATGCCCATGATTGGTTTGCCAGGCGTTTGTCAGCATCACACTGCAAGGCTGTGCCTTAAATGTATCTATTTGTGTGTGTGTGTGTGTGTGTGTCTTTTTTTTTTTTTTGCCAGTCCTGGACCTGGGCACTGTCCCTGAGCTTCTTTTGCTCAAGGCTAGCACTCTACCACTTGAACCACAGCGCCATTTCCAGCTTTTTCTGTGTATGTGATACTGAGGAATTGAACCCAGGGCTTCCTGCATGGTAGACAGCACTCTGTCACTAAGCCACATTCCCAGCCCCAATCGTATGTATGATATGATCAATGCCACAGCCGGACCCTCCTGTTTGTCTGGCCTTCCTCTGTGGATTTTCAGGACTCAAATTATATGTGTAATATAAACTGCTTGTTTACATGTGTGCTCACATGCCCAGCAGCAAGGGACTAACAATGAGGCAGATTTTATTTCTTTGTGCTGGTACTGGGCCTTGAACTCAAGGCTTCACACTGTCTTGGCTTTTTCACTCAAGGCTGGTGCTCTACCACTTGAGCCACAGCTCCATTCCAGCCTTTTGATGGTTAGCTGGATAGAAAAGTCTCACAGATATTCCTGCCCAGGCTAATTTCAAACTGTGCTCCTTACTTAGCTTCCTGAGTAGCTAGAATATATAGGCCTGAGTCACCCATTCCTGGCCCAACTTTATATTTAAATTTAAAGAATGGCTTCCATCCTTTATTTGTAGATTCAGTGAAAGTCCAGAGGAGAGTTCAGTTCCTCTTCCTGTCTTTTATGAAGGAAATTACATGTTAGGATGCCATTTATAAATAGGCTGATTTTCAGAAATCTGGTAACCTTCAAGAAGCTGAACTTTTCTTTCTTTCTTTTTCAGTTGTGGGGCTTGAACTCTGGGCCTGGGCACTGTCCAGCTCAAAGCTAGAGCTCTGCCACTTGAGCCACAGTGCCACTTCCTGTTTCCTGGTGGTTAACTGGAGATAAGTCTCATGGATGTTCCTGCCTGATCTGGCTTTGAATTACAATCCTCAGGTCTCTAGGATTACAAGTGTGAGCCATCGATGCCTGGCTGAACATTTCTTCCAACTCTGCTTTTAGTTGTTTTTTGCCAGTGATGAGGCTTGAACTCAGCATCTGGACACTGTCCTTGAGCTTTTGTTTTAAGGCTAGCACTCTAATCTTTGATCCACAACTCCATTAATCGCTTCCACCACCACCACCCCCCAGTCATGGGGCTTGAACTTAGGGCCTGGGCACTGTCCCTTAGCTTCTTTTGCTCAAGGCTAGCAATCTACCCCTTGAGCCACAAGCTCCACCTCTCTTGCTGGTTGATTGAAGATCAGAGTCTCATGGCCTTTCCTGCCTGGGCTGACTTTGAACCACCATCCTCAGATCTCAGCCTCCTGAGTAGCTAGGATGACAGGTGTGAGCCACTGGCACCTGGCTCCTTCCTACAATCTTTTTGATTTCTAATTATTTATCCCTTCTTCCTCTTTACCCAGGGCTCAGAACCATCCGCAGATTCTAGTAAGCGCATGGATAGTTCTGCTGGACTCCCTGGCAAGGGCACAAGTGCTGACCAGGCCGCAGGTGCTGCTGGTGCCCCGCATGGCCCCCCTGAAAAAACTCCGAGCAAACAATTGGGCAAACCTTCCTCTACTGCACTTCCTGGCAGAGAACAACCGCGGGCCCAAGAGGAAGCTGGTGGTCCAAAACCCCAGCCTCCTGCATCCCAGGCTGATCGTCGCAAGGCTCGAGAACCATCCTCTGCCACACGTTTAAGACGAGATGAACGAGATGCAGGTCCTGGCCAGAGTCAACAGGACTTATCCTCAGCCAGCCAGCAGCAGCCTTATGCACAACCAGACCAGCAAGCGGGGGTGCCCATTGGTCCGGGTCAAGTCTACCAAAGGCCAGATCAGCCCAGATTAGGGTTACCTACCATGGGTCAGCTGGTAAGGCCACGTGCTGGTGTCGTCCGCCCACAACGTGTGCCACCCCAAACTCTGGGTCACCCTGGTATGCAAGCACCTCGAATGGGTGCTCAGGGATTGGTTACACCTGGCATGGATCAGATTGGCATGATGCCATCAATGGTACCTGGCAGAGATCAACAAGGCTTGCAGCTTCCTGGTACAGACCAGTTTGATATGGCTTCCTTTGGTACATATCAACCTGGTGTGATATATCCTGACATGGACCAACAAGCTGCCATGCTGGAAAGTGGGATGGGAGTGCCCGGAATGGACCAGTCTGGGTTAATACCAATTGGCATTGATCAGAATGGATTTGTAATATATGGCACCACTGAGCAAGGACTGGTCCCCCCTGGCATAGATCAATATGGACGGCCTCTACCTCCTACAGATCAGTATGCTTTTATGCCACCTGGCTTGATGCCCATTGGTGTGGACAAACAAGGTTTTATACAGCCCAGTTTGGGAGCCTCTGGCTTTATACAGCCTGGCAGGGTATATAAAGAGCAGGGTGAGTTTGTGCAGGCTGGTGAAGATCAAGGTGGTTTGGTACAGCCTGGCACAGACCAGCAAGGTCCTGTACCTCCTGGTGCAGGTCAGCCTGGCTTGGTCCAACCTGGTGCATATCCACCTCGTTTAGCACAAGTTGGTCCAGATCAGGGTGGTTTAGTGCAGCTTGGGGCAGATCAACAAGGTTTAGTGCAGCCTGGCACAGGTCAGCCAGGCTTGATGCCACCTGGTGCTGTTCCACGTGGTGTGGTCCAGCCTGGTGCAGTTCCTTATGGTTTGGCACAGCCTGGTGCAGCTCAGCATGGTTTGGCACAGCCTGGCACAGGTCAGCCTGGGTTGATGCCACCTGGTGTATACCCACCTGACTTGGTACAGCCTGGTGCAGTTCCGTATGGTGCAGTTCCACATGGTTTGGTGCAGCCTGGTGCAGTTTCACATGGTTTGGTGCAGCCTGGTGCACAGCAGTTTGGTGTGGTACAGCCTGGTACAGTTCCACATGGTTTGGTGCAGCCTGGTGCAGTCCCACGTGGTCCAGTGCAGCCCGGTGCAGAGCAGCTTGGTGTAGGGCAGCCTGGTGCAGAACAGCTTGGTTTGGTGCAGCCTGGTGCAGTTCCACATGGCCTGGTGCAGCCTGGTGCAGAGCAGCTTGGCATGGGGCAGCCTGGAGCAGAGCAGCTTGGTTTGGTGCAGCCCGGTGCAGAGCAGCTTGGTGTGGGGCAGCCTGGTGGAGAACAGCTTGGCGTGGGGCAGCCTGGTGCAGTTCTGCATGGTCTGGTGCAGCCTGGTGCAGGTCCACGTGGTATGGTACAGCCTGGTGCAGGTCCACGTGGTATGGTGCAACCTGGTGCAGGTCCACGTGGTATGGTACAGCCTGGTGTAGATCCACGTGGTCTGGTGCAGCCCGGTGCAGAGCAGCTTGGCATGGGGCAGCCTGGAGCAGAGCAGCTTGGCTTGGTGCAGCCCGGTGCAGAGCAGCTTGGCGTGGGGCAGCCTGGAGCAGAGCAGCTTGGCGTGGGGCAGCCTGGAGCAGAGCAGCTTGGCGTGGGGCAGCCTGGAGCAGAGCAGCTTGGCGTGGGGCAGCCTGGAGCAGAGCAGCTTGGCGTGGGGCAGCCTGGAGCAGAGCAGCTTGGCGTGGGGCAGCCTGGAGCAGAGCAGCTGGGCGTGGGGCAGCCCGGTGGAGAGCAGCTTGGCGTGGGGCAGCCTGGGGCTATTCCACGGGGTTTTATGCAGCCCGGTGCTATTCCAGGAGGTCTGGTGCAGCCCGGGGCAGTTCCGCAGGGTATGATGCAGCCCGGGGTAGTTCCACAGGGTATGATGCAGCCCGGGGCAGTTCTGCAGGGTATGATGCAGCCCGGGGCAGTTCCGCAGGGGATAATGCAGCCCGGGGCAGTTCCGCAGGGTATGATGCAGCCCGGGGCAGTTCCGCAGGGGATGGTGCAACCCGGGGCAGTTCCACAGGGTATGATGCAGCCCGGGGCAGTTCCGCAGGGGATGGTGCAGCCCGGGGCAGTTCCGCAGGGGATGATGCAGCCCGGGGCAGTTCCGCAGGGTATGATGCAGCCCGGGGCAGTTCCGCAGGGGATGGTGCAGCCCGGGGCTGTTCCGCAGGGGATGGTGCAGCCCGGGGCAGTTCCGCAGGGGATGGTGCA